AGTAAATAATTGCCGTGAACACAGTCACTATTACCATTTTAAAATAATTACATACGCATAATCTTAAAACGGTAACAATATGAATATTATAAAATAATTAAACTATCTGAGTTAATTCAGATTTAAATAAAAAAAATAAAAATATAAAGACTTTAGATTAATAAACTTATAAAAAAATATAAGATAAGTATTAAAAACTTAAAAATAAAGATAATATAAAAGTAATTAAGATATTTATTAAATATTTAAATAAAATTATAAATTCTAATTTTTAATAATAAAAAATATTAAATTTATAATATATAAATAAATAAAGTTTTTCTTAATATTTTATAAATATAATTAGTTAAATAAGTTTTTTATATTTATAATTATAAATAATTATATATATATATATAATTATTATATATTTATTATAATAATTATCTTTATATTTTTTAATTATTATTAATATTTTATATTTATTATAATTAATTAATTTTAATTATCTTGTTTATTATTATTATATTTAATTAATAATTATTTTTTATATAATTCATATAATATAATCTGAATTAAATTTTATATTATATAAAATTATCTGATTTTAATAAATTTTTATTATATATTAATATTTAATTAATATTAATAAATAAAAAAATATATAATATTATATATACAAAATTTAACTGAAATTAATAATAAAAGCTTTTAAATATAAAAAATTAATAAGTATATTTTTTTAATTAAGTAAATTATTTATAAATAAATATATTTGATTAGAAAATGATGAAATAAAAAATTATAAAGAAAATTTTCTGAAAAAAGAAAGAATTTATTCTTGAAACTTATTTTATATCAATATATAATATATTAATATATTAATATATTAAAAAATATTTAGCATATTAATAATATTATAATAAAAATTAAATAAAATAGTTTATAGATTATATTATATTATCTTATTATATTTATATTATATTTAATTTACTATATCATAATTATCTAATTTTATCAAGAAAAATTATATGATTCTTTAAGTTATTTTTGCTTTAAAAGATATTCTTTATAGAAATTTTATTAGTTCTTATTTTATAAAAATAGCTAGATATATTATTCTTTTTATATTTTTATTTATAATATTTATTTTTATATTTATATATTTATAATTATCTTTCAGAGATACTATTATTTTAAGTATTATGTATTAATAATTATTTATTTTTCATATAACTCTAAATTAATTATTTAAAAATATTATATCTATTTTATAATTTTAATAATAATTATTATAATAATAAAGTTTTAAATTTATAAATAATATTTTATTTATCTTTGACTTAGTTTTCTATATGAATTTTAAATTAATACTTTACTAATTATCTTGAAATTCTATATAAATTTCTTGATAATTTATATTATATAATAAAAAATTATAAATATATTCTTTTAATTCTAATTTATTTTAATATTCTTTAAAAAATAATTTGATTTTATTATATATAATATAATTATAAGAATTAAAGATTAATTTTATTAATAAAATATAGTAAAAATTAAAATTTTCTAATTTTATTAAAAAATAGTTATATCAAAATAAAGTTTATAAGTTATAATTTAATATAATATTTTTTTCAGATTTTTTAGATTTTTTCTAAAAGAATTATTCTAATCATAAAGTTAATATAAAAATTTTTATTAATTAAATTTTATTTTTAATTAATAAAAATTTTTGTATTAATTTTATAATTAGAATAACTCTTTTAGAAAAATCTATATTAAATTATAACTTATAAATATAAAAATAAAAACTATTTTTTAATAAAATTATAAAGTTCAATATAGAGAGAAAATTTCAAAATAAAATTGATCTCCTGATTTTATAATTATAAAAATCACTATATATTGAATAAGAATATATTCTTTTTATTTGTAATATCATTAAGAAATAATTAATTTTTAATTTAATAATTATTATAATTAAATAGGAATATTAAATAAATTTTAAATAATTATTATAATTAAATAAGAATATTAAATAAATTTTAAAAAATTTTGATTTTTTAAATTTTATTAAAATTTTTGATTTTTAATAAATTTAGCAAAATCTTAAAAATTTAATTTGATCTTATAATAATTTTGTCTTGTATTTTTATATTTAATCTAAAATAATAATATTAAAAAAAATATAATAATAAAAAAAACTATTAGTAAATCATTTTAAATTTTTAAGAATTATAATAATACTTAATTAATACAAATCTTGTATTTAAGTTCTTTTACTTACTATATAATATTAATATAATAATGTAAAAATCAAATTTCTTATACTTTATAATAAAAAAAATATGATTATAAAGGAATATTATTATATAATTAATAACCATATAAAAAGTTAATTATATTAATAAATTATAATTAATAAAAGTATTCAAAAATATTACAATTTAAAGCATTTTGACATGTTAATTAATTTCAGCTTTATTCACGACAATTAAGCAACATGTGCTTTCTTTATTATAATAAATATTTTTATTATTCACAATGAATTTAGTTTTATTAGATTATCTATCAATTTGTAAATGATGTTATTTATTATTTTTTCGAGCATTTAATTCAAATGTGTTTTTTTTGAATCAAAGTGTGACATTTGGAACTTCCATACATATTTCAGCTGATTGGATTGATAAAGATCAGTGAACAATAAAATAAAAGCAGAAAATTTTACAGACATTCGTTGTTATGGACGATATTGTATTATTGTGATAAAGAATATCTGTAATAATACGTCGTCGCGTACTCATTCTTTGACCCGTACCCGTCATTAATAATTAAAAAAAAAGAATAGGGAGATTATTATGAATAACCCAGACACAGATCTAGAAAGTGTTCGTCACGAATATCGTGCACAACTAGCAGAGTTAACGTTTAACTCTAAACCAATAATCACTAATTTGACCATTATTGCTCAAGAAAATATTCATGTCGCGCGTGCTATTGTACAAGCGATAGAAGATCAGATCAAAGCTGTAAGTAATTTCTTGATGTGTTGATATTGTTTGCGCAGAGATCTAAGGAAGCTCGTTAGTAGGGGGTAGTGTGAGAATTTATTCGAGCATCATAGAATTCTTCGAATCATCATGGTGATGCTCATATTTTTTCTTTGCATGTGTGCACATATATTATTTTACAGTCACTCCCGCCTCAAAAACTGCCAGTTTTATATCTACTAGATTCAATAAGCAAGAATGTTGGTGGGGTGTACATTACACTTTTTTCTCATAATCTTTTACACACATTTATCGATGCATATCACGCTGTCGATGACACCACAAAACAAAAATTCGAGCGCGTTCTAAATACATGGAAAGTTGGACCTAATGGTGGACCGGTGTATCCTCCTGAAGTGACTGGATTGATTGAAAGGGCTTTGATTAAACAGCAGCAAATACGATATCAGAATAGAGGATCGATTGATGGACGAAATCACATTCACATAAATCCTAATTTCTTAGCTGGAATGGTAAAAAAATTTTTAATTTCTAATGATTAATCGTATTATGATCTATGATAATAATTTTTCTATTTCTATTAGCAACAAAATCAAAATTCGTTGAGTAGTTATCAACAACCACCCCAACAAACACAACAACAATCTCAAACGCTCATCAGTTCACATACTTCTATTCCACTCTCACATACGCTCCCCATTACACAACAACTCCAATCATCACAATCACAATGGACTGAAAACTCGCACTATACCAACGATAGTGGTGGTGGTGGTGGTGGTGGCGGTGGTGGTAGTGGTGGCGCTACAAATTCATATACATCTACAACGACACATCCAAGTCGTCAAGGATATTATTCAACTCAAACGGTGGGTAATTTTTCATTATATTATTCATTATCCAATCATTTATGGTCTTCTTTTCCTCTTTTGTCATCTTTCCCTTCATTGTCTTGTCCTGTTCGTTTTTGTCGTTATTATTATCAAGTAATGGTGCCGCGATATTTGATATAGTCTCTTTATTTTGTAATATTTGGGCGGGTTTTATATTTTCATTCAACGCATTGAATGGGAATTTTGGTTGGTTTTCGAATGTTGTATTCTCTTTGGTCCTTTTTTCAAGAATGCTTTCATATCGCATTCTTCGAGAGCATAGCCATAAAGCTAACGCTATTATTCTGGCATGTTGCACTCTTTCAAGTGTTTTTTGTTTAGAGATTGATTTGACATATAAAAATAATCCATACAAGCTTTAACAAATATAATCATTTAAAGTCGTCAATATAGTCGAATTGAACACAAGAAAAAAATTTAAAAAAAAATAAAAATAAAACAAAAAAAATAAAAGAAAAAAAAAGAAAAAAAAAACAAATAAAAAAAAGAAAAGAAAAAACCAATCAAGCGAAAAATTGCATGCATGTTTTATATATCCCTTGGAAAATTCATCCGGTTTTAATTGAGATCAAAGACGAAACATTGGAATTTAGGAATTGGATTTCATTAGTAAAATTTTGAAAAAAAATTAGATCCTTGGTTAAATATTGATGATTTATCTTTATTTTGGGTTTCTTTTATTTTCTAGTATGGATCGGAAACAGCACCATTAGTTGCACAGCTTCCGTTGCAACAATCTCAAGTATTTATGCCACCACCCGATCAAACACGCCTTATACAAGAATATCGAGCCCTGCTATTACAAAGGCAACAATACGCATTACAGAATGCAGGAGATCCTAATAATCAAGTACAAATTCAAACTTTACAAGGGGTATTTTAACTATTTCCTCACTTCTCTTTAATGATCACCGTTATTCTATTATCAACAATTATTATATGATTATATTTGTAGTTGTTGGATATAATTCAAATGACAACCTTAACGCCGGATCAAATTCAACAACTCCGCCAACAAATTTCTAGTTATATGTCACCGTCGCAGCAACCACATGCTGCTACTACATCTTATGGAAATCTTCCGACGACAACCACCACGGCTGACTTGAATGCATTATTAGCCCAACATGGTGCGCTGCAACATAATATCTCAACATCTGCTACTGCTGCTTCTACTAGTAGTAGCACTAATACACCACCTACCGCGACATCTGCACCATTATACCCTTCTCAACCTTTGAACTTAACTCAATCATCACTACCTCATACTGCGTCATCGTCGTCATCCATCGGTTTACAGTCGTCAGTTAATTCTTTAGTATCAGATCCAAATGCATTAGTTAGAAATTTAATGGATTTCGGATTATTGGGTTCAAAGGCTGCTGGTATGCTTATCAGTACCACTACTGCTGCTACTACTAATACTAATAATCCTACTAATAATCCTAGCAATATTAATAATAACAACAACAATAATACAAGTAGTAATAATAATAGTAGTACATTGAATAGTGTTTCTGCTGTATTAGCTGGATTCAATCTTAATAATAATATTAATAATAATCATGGTACCAATTTAAGTGGTGCTTCTACTAATCAAACTAATATTCACAATGCTATTGGTGTTGGTGGTGTTGTTCGAGGAGCAGGAGGGGTAGTAGGAGGAACACCTACAACACCTCCAATTGTTGTTACTGTAACAGGATCTACGCTTATTAAGGAACTAGGCAAAATTCAATTGACAAGTAGCGATATTCAGAAGTAAGTCTCATTCATTTATTTGTTTCTTTCATTCAGTTCGTATAATAATTGGTTCACAATCATATATTTTTTCAATAGGAAACGTGATGGTGCAATAGCTATATTATATGACGCGTATCCACTTCAATGCAAACAATGTGGATTTCGATATGCTAAAACGGAAGAGGGTAAGGCAAAGATGGATGCTCATCTTGATTGGCATTTTCGACAAAATCGTAGAATGAAAGATAAAGCGAAGACGGCCCAGAGCAGGAATTGGTTTGTTACTGAGGAGGTAAAAAAAAATTTTACTTGTATAATATTCTTATTGTCGATATTGTCATTATTGATTTTTTTGGCATTTGATATTACATCCATATTATGTATAGGATTGGATTTATTCGCGTGAATCGGAAATAAATACAATTATTCAATCTGCAGCCTATTTCGAACCAGCGCCTTCCACATCCGTCTCTTCATCTACCCCCAAAAAATCTGCACCCGTGACTCAACAACCACAACAACAGCAATCAAAGGAAGAAGAAGTGATGAACGAGTCAACGGTGATTGTACCATTAGACTGGGAAAAAATTAGTAAACCTTGCCCGATCTGTCAAGAGAAGTTCAAGAAATATTATAGTGATGCGGATGATGAATGGATTTTCAAGAATGCTGTCGAGATTGGTGGAGTTATTTATCACGCGAGTTGTTATGCCGATGTTATAAAGGTTTTGAAAAATTTTTGATATATATTTTATTTAATTTGTAAATTACATTTATCATGATTTTCATTAATTTATTAATGTGTGAACTACTATCAATTGAATAGAATCAAGAAACGGCGCAATCGTCGTCTCGTGAAAGTACACCAAGTACGGTGCTTGGAAAACGAAAAGCCGAAGAGGTATTCTGCATATAGCATCATAATATCCATTATTATATCATAAAAATTTTCTTCATCTATATACATGTTATATATTAATTGAAATTTACCATTGGCCTTTATTCACAACAATTTCGCCTTTTTTATTCTCTGATAATATTAATTCTAGTCACAGCCTGAAGTTCTCGAAGTCCAAAAACGGCCGGCCCTTGTTTCATGAAGAAATAATAAAAAGTAGGAATACTTATAATCCAGAAATAAATAGATCCTTTTCTTCCTCAAAAATATTGATGAATAAATAAATAAAAATCGAAAAAATCAAAAATTAAAAAATCAAAAAAAAACATTAAGTAGGTTTTGTGTGGTAGTCATATTAACACAATGGTGATAGTAATTATGGCGGGAGATTTTTTTACTCTACATTTATATCTTATACCTAATTTCATATACGAATTACTTTAGTAATTCTTTGAGATTTATTTACTTCTATTATTTAGTTTATATCTAGATTGTATGGTGATTCATAATTTTCAAATAAATGAATATAATGAAATTTAAACAAACGAATCGAAAGATCTTTAATTGTAAAACAGTATTTAATAACTTACCCGAGGGTACAATACTATTGTGACATATGAATCATTCTTATTCGGAGAAGATTAACCGATAATTAAATAATTATAAGCAAGTTTTATTAATTAAATCATTTGTATGTAACATAATAATAATAACAAAATTTTTGGCTATCTACAAGTGTATTAGGAGAAAAATTCTGTATATTTATATATGTATAACGTGTAACTATTAAGATGTTCTCTCGTCTTTTTTTCCATCCACATTCAGTTCTACATTATTATAATTGTTATTATTCCCAGTGCTACTTCCTGATACTTCATCGTCGTCATCAACATCCATTATCAATTCCTCTTCACTGTAAATACTCGATGTCCTTGTATGATGATGACGATTGTTATTGTTATTGTTATCATTATTATTACTATCAGTATTATCATTATTATTAATTGAAGCAACATTGTTATTGATATTGTCATTATCGATTCCACCAACGCCAGCATCATTATTTTTCCGCGGTAAACGTAGTTTGGCTTCTTTCGAAAACTCGGGGGGCAACAAATCATCTTTATACTTTAATAGATTCTTGAAACAACCAACAAGTGTAGCATTCACGACGCCAGCAGCTGCAGCAACATCTCGGTGTTCACATGTGATTAGATTTTTATCGTTTGTGGAATTCCACGTGGTGATAGCAAGCCAGATTGACGCGGCTCCTACCGAAACAGGACATTTGCCGGTGGTGATGTTTAATGAACTGGCTTGTCTATAGACGTGAATTGATGCTTCAAGAATGTGGTCCGGAAGTTTCAAGTTCTGACACCAACGTTTCTATATTATAATATAGATTATTAATGATAATTACCAACCAAATATAATATAAATTAAGATATTGGTTACTCACCAAGAACTTGGCAGAATCGACCATTCTCAAAGAAGGTCCATTCACTCCGGTACACAATCCATTACTTTCAAAGACTTTAAGCATTAATCGGTAGTAGGTACCAATTTCCTGTTTTCTGACTCCGGCAGCATTACAAATTTCAACAAAAGTTCGTGGAAGTCCGTGTTGTCGACACAAAATCAAAAGAATCGAAGCGAGAATATGATTACGTCGACGATGTGGCTGCCGATTTTTCATCTCTTTCGATTGTTTCACAACTTCAAAGAGACGCAGAGTTTCCTCCCATATTGACGGGGGAATCTCAATGTTCTTTTCCCACTCGATTTTTTCCAGCTCTAATTTTTCATCTGATGGGTCTTTGATCGTTGATTTGCGTTTTGGAGGACATGAAGTTCTTTTAGACACTGTACTAGTATTAGCGCTACTATTATTGTTAGATCCCGTTGTGGTTATATTTGTTTTTCCTGTGCTGTCTTTAACATTATTGTTGTAACCACCAGCAGAATTTGACGCCATGGAATTTTTACGGGATAGAGGTATTTGACGTGAAGCAAATTCAGTAGAAGGTGACGATGAGGATGATATTGATGTGTCAATTTTCTTCGTTTCTTTAGTATTAGTATTACCATTATTACTATTATTGCTATCATCATTGTCATCGTCATCATCATTATTATTAGACGAATGTGGTTCATAATAAGATAAAGCAGGTGGCGATGAATAAATAACCTTCTTTTCTTCTTCTTCATCATTAATATCATCATCTAAATCTTCAAAATCAGCATTCATGCTTTCAGTCTCAAAACTTTCATCATAATTATTTGCTGATTTGGTTGTTTCGTCATTATGAGAAGGGCGTGAAACCTGATTGCTATTATTATTGTTTTTTAAGAAAGGATCAATGGAAGCAGACGATGGTTGACTTTGACCCTGATTTGTTGATGATTTTGAATCCACCAT